GAATGCAGAGTGAGGCATTTCCTAGCTCTGCAGACTAGCAGGACTAAGGGTTTCCTACTGGTACACTGTCCACATTCCTAAGCCCACATTTCCATTGTCTGTTTACTTAGGGGTTTTCTGTTTGATTGTTTGCTCGTGTATTTGTTTCTTACATTCAAAATGACCAACTTGAGAGCAGACTGCCATTCTACTAGTCACATTATGCAAAAAGTAAGTGGATCAAAGCACAGGGACCATCTACATTGCAAAACAAAGTCCTTGGTTCATTCAGAGTTGGTTAATTTTCTCAGCGCTTTTCTCCCCCTGGTGGTGTCGAACAATTTTCTTTATATCTATCCTCACTTCCAATATGCTTGTTTTTAAGATCGTAATTTGTTGATGTGTGGTTGTTTGCCAAGACCTGTCTTAGGGTCTGTGAAACACTAAAGTGTATATAATAGGAAAATCCTCAAGCTTCGTTTCAAAGATATATGCTACCTTGACATGTAGCATTTTGTATTTGACAAAAATGCAACAGATCTGCATAATCTAGACAAATAATGAAATCTTGTAATTTGCAGCAACCTGGATGGAACCGGAGGCCATGATGTTAAATGAAATAAGCCAAACACAGAGAGGCAGATATCACATGATCTCATTCATATGTGGGAACTAAAAAAGTGCATCTCATGAAGACAGAGTAGAATGGTGGTTACCAGGGGCTTGGAAGGGTAAAGAGGGATGGAAGGACGATGGGAAAAGCAACCGAACATAAATACTGAACCCTACACTGAAAAATGGTAAAGATGGTAAACTATATCTGTATATTTTATCTCAATAAAAAGTCTAAGATATTAAAAATAGTCTGGGCACAGCGGCTCATGCCTGTAATCCCAGCACATTGGGAGGTCGAGGCGGGTGGATCACGAGGTTGGGAACTCAAGGTCAGCTTGGCCAACATGGCGAAACCCCGTCTCTACTAAAAATGCAAAAATTAGCCAGGTGTGGCGGCAGGCGCCTGTAATTCCAGCTACTCAGGACGCTGCGGCAGGAGAATCCATCGAATCCGGGAGGCAGAGGTTGCAGTGAGGTGAGATTGTGCCATACCACTCCAGCCTGGGTGACAAGACCAAGACTCTGTCTCAAAAATAAATAAATAAATAAATAAATAAATAATAAGTAACTGTGGCTGGTCTCAAGCATGAGTGGGGTAGACTAATTGGGATCTTTTTGCCAAGATGAGTATCACTGTGGGTGTGGTATGTGAAAGAAGGCTTGGTGTCCAGTTGAAACTCCTGTTCTTCTCACATCATCTGCCTCTCACTCATGCTTCCTGTTACAACAGTAACTGGGGGTGATCACAAAACAGTAGATGTATTTCCTGGTTTTTGCTGATTAGTGAGTATCTAAGAGACACTTGTAACTTCTCTGTGCTTACTCACACTCTGGGATTTCTCTCTCCATCTTGGGTAGGTAGTTCCTCTTCTTTTAAAATCATTCAAAACTATTTTCCCAACTGGCCCTATGCTTAAATAAAGCCCGTAAATGTAACTACGGTTTTCGTTCAGTAACTCAGAGTACATAATAACTACTTGATTATTTAGTTTTAACAAAAGTAGCAAATATGAAAAGATATGACTTCTTTAGGTAGCAAAGATAAACTCTTCTCCAAATGCTGCCAAGAGTAATTCTGAAGTAAGATAGAAAGGGAAGGGAGAGAAGGAAAAAGAATTTACCAAAAATAGACTTTATATATGAAAATCAGTAGATAAACATAATACCAACTTGAGAGTAGAAATAATAATAACAGTAATGACGATGGCAAATTACAAACGGATAGTACTAAATTCCCCCCCCTTTTCACCACCTTACAGGATATCCCGTCTAGCTGCAAAAACAAAACATGGAAATGAATCAGTCGATAAAGGATTTTCTCTCATTAAAGATGTTGGTGATTTTGTCCCGTGTAGGGGAAGTTGAACATTAAGGTGGATGTTCATAATCTAAAGGGACCACGGTCACTCGCTCTCCTTGCTATGGGATGCAAACTGTTCTGCATGTGATAAGAATGTCAGGCTAACGGTAAAAAAACATTTTATCTCAGTATGATAAGAAATCACGCCATAGACTGACCTAAACATTGAATTTTTTGATGATTGCCCCCACTGATAGATTTTGTTTTTCTTAGTAAATCTCAGGACATTAATATCCATGACAGTATCCATAGAAAATAAAAAACAAAATCACATAAAAATTGTGTATAATTTTTCTTAGTGGGGAAAGGGATGGAGCAAAGAGCAATAATTTTGAGGAGGTGGAACCACCAGAGAGAACAAAATAAGTTCTTATATTTAAGAGAAATTCAGAGGTCATTCAGAAACTATTATCGTGATATTTCTCATTTCAAAGAGATATAAGTTTCTCTTAAACAATTTATATTTTTTAAAAGTTTTAAAGGAAAATGAGTGAGGAGTAAAAAGTCCCTTTTATTCCCAAGGTTCATATGACCCAGAAATGAACTTCACTAAGAATCAGGTTTAAGACATTCACTTTCAAACTTTAGAAGGCCTTGAGCTTCATTTTTCCTAGAAAGATAAACTTAGTATTATACATGTTATCATCCTGTTGGGATCAAAATGGAGGATTCGCTGGGATGAAATATTAAAAGACGGAGAATGTGAAGAAAGATTTATGTAATGCTAATTTCAGGCAGCTTTCAAGGTTAATGCTTGTCCAAATTTTCATGGCCAATTCCTCTCGCCCAAGGACCACATGGGCAGCTCTGTACTGCTTGTCACTGTCATCAGCCACTTGTGTGACACGTTGGCTGCAATTCAACAGTAAAGCATGCATATTCTCTACTGAACATTTGGGGAGCCTGCAGGCAGTGAGTTGCGATGTAAATGGAAAAAAAGAAAGTCTGATCATAGTCCTCACCATCATAAGCTATCTAGGTGTCCTGCTCAGGCTTCCAATGTGGGTAGTCACACAGGCCACCCAAACTGCTGACATCCTTCATTGACCTTTTCACAGCAATTGTGAGCCTAATGACTTTGTTTTCGCGTTTTGGAACTGAACTTTACAAGGATTGCTTCCAGTCCTGGGTGGTGCTGAGAAAACTCAGCTTCACTAGAATTTGGCCGAGACCACCAGATGCGTTTCATGTGAGGGCCTTTTCCCATAATCTGACCAGAATGGTTTATGAATGTTCTGGGGAGCAGAAAGCCGGCCCCCGAGGCTGAGAAAGGGCCGTGCCCTGCTCAGTTAGGAGACCACACAGCCGTCCTCTTTCCCCTCTGAGTATTTATAGTTAAGAAACCACACCACCCCTCTCATTCGGAAGCTGAGGGTGAAAGTGGAAAAAACCAGAAACACAAATTGCATCCTACAGCTGAGAAAGCCTCACTCTTGGAAAAGCTAGAAAATAAATAAATAAAGGGGAAAATCCAAATGGGATCGCTCTTCAAACACACAAATGATCTTATGTTAACAGTTGGGATTAAACAGCTGTCTCGTGGTTATGCGATCATAACAGATGCTGTGTGCAAACGTTTCCTGCTAGCTTTGTTTTGGTTATTGCTGTTTGTGCAGTTCATTGGGCTGAATTCAGCTTAAGGGATACAGGTTTTTATTATCCTTCTGTGCTGCGCAGGCAGCTTCATCATCTCTTTAAGAGGAAAGGGGGCGTGTGAGAGGGATAGTTGGAAGGGAAATGGAGGGTGGGCTCTCCCATGTCACATTGGGAATGATGTCATATTGATGAAATTCCAACACACTGGTTTATGACCACTTTGCCGTTAAAGTGGTCCCCAGTTCATTTATGAGCTTTTTGTTGTTGTTGTTTTTTAAATTTTATTTTAGTGGAGGCTGTGTTCAGTTCTAGTGCAGTTTATGCAGCTGGAATAGAATTTATAGAATATAGAGAAAGTGTTTTCTTTCTTTTCTTTCTTGCTTTCTTTTTTTTTTTTGGATGACTAACAGATTACAACGTTGTAATGATCCCTATCTTGCCTCTTTCTCCCATGCCCTCCAGAGATAAAATGTAGTGGCTGGTTTTGATTTTTCCTAGAAGTTTCATTTCATCTTAGAAGTTGGGATCGCCTTCTCTATGTCAGCCAAGTGAAGTGGTGAACTATCACTGTTTTTGGAAATTCAAATTTGGAAGCCATTTTGGCCTGAATTATGTTACTTAGTCAAACCAAAAATATCCTCTTGGCTTAAATTCTTCAGAAAACTGCCACAATTCATAACACACTTTGCCTACCAACGGATTTAATTCTATTACTTATATCCCAGCCTTAAAAAATACAATGTAAATGGCAGAAACAGTATTTCTGCGTACAAAAAGCACATGTCTACCATAAGGAGGAAGTACAGAGAACAACACGGGCCATATTTAGGGGTTCTGGCCGAAGCTCTGACTGCCTGTCACCCCCACGAGGACCTTGCTTCTCATCTATAAAAGGCTGATCATTCATGCATTCACTGGCCAGTAGCTCATCTGTGCTTTTGGAAATTTTGAATGGCGGAATGGGAGCAGATTTGATTGCTCAAAACCTTATCTTAGGAATCGTACCCTTTGAGTAGGACCATCCTAACACAGCCAAGTCTGACACCTTTACTGAAGCAGAGCTTTCTATAATGTGTAAACATATTTAAGGATCTGAACTTAAATTGCTATCTTATTCTCATTCATTCAACTCAAGGGGTTGAATGATTACTTTTCAGGTCTTAACAGCTCACAGAATGAAATTCGGCCTTGTCTGATAAGTTGTCACAGTAGTAGCATTTCTATGTTTTAAAGACATTTCAAAATAATTTCATGTACATTTAATGCTTGATCCTACTAACAGTTTCTGGAGGTATTTCTCTAATCTTACAGAAAAGCAAGTCAAGGTCCATCCTATAAGGTGAGTATCGTATCTAAGTTGTCAAGGTTTATACAGGTAGTGATAGAGCCTACATTTGAACCAATTAGGCACCAATGGCCACATGACATAGAGATTAAGAAAAGTATTTACCCACAGACCTCCTGTTGTCACTGACTTTTTGAGTTCGAGACGAGCCTGGGAAACAAAGGGAGATCTTGTCTCTACAAAAAAATAAAAGTAAAAGAAAATTAGCTAGGCATGGTAATGTGTGCTTGTAATCCCAGCTACTCAGGAGGTTGAGATGGGAGGATCCCCTGAATCCAGGAGTTTGAGGCTGCTTGCACCACTGCACTCCAGCCTGGATGACAGGGCAAGAACCCATCTCATGAAAAAACAAACAAACAAACAAAAACAAAGAAAGAAAACCCTGAATATCAGGTCCTTTTGTGGGGACAAACCTCTGGCAACCTTGTAACAAAAGGTCCTTCGAAAGAAGATATACAAATGGCAAAGTAAGCAAATGATGAGATACGATCTCACACCCACAGGATGGCTAATATCAAAAAGAAAAACACAGAAAATAACAAGGATTGGTGAATATGTGAAGAAACTGGAATTCTATAGATTCTTGGTGGGAATGTAAAATGATACAGCCACTGTGAAAAACAGTTTGGTGGTTCCTCAATATATAAAAAATAGAATTACCATATCATCCATCAATTCTACATCAATTCTACATCTGGGTATATACTTCAAAGAACTGAATAAAAGGTCCTGAAAAAATATGTTCAAATCAATGTTCACAGCAGCATAATTTATAATAGCTAAAATGTGGTAGCAACCCAGGGGTCTATTGATGGAGAAATGGATAAGCAAAATGTGTTACATGGATATTTCTTAGTTAGTTTTAGTTGCTATAACAGAATATCACAGACTGGTGGCTTACAAGCAACAGAAATTCATTCACAGTTCTGGAGGCTGGAAGTCAGAGCTCAAGCTACCAGCATATCAGGTTCTGGTGAGGGCCCTTTACTGAATTGTAGACAGCCAAATTCTTGCTGTGTTCTCTCTTGGTTGAAAGAGAGTTAGCTATCTTTTTGGCCTCTTATAGGGCACCATCCCACTCATTAGGGCTCCACCCTCATTATCTAGTTACTTCCCAATGAACCTACCTCCAAACCATCACATTGAGATAAGAGTGTCAACACAGTAGTGTTCGGTGGACATAAATGTTCAGTCCATGGCAACATACAATGAAATGTTATTTAGCCTGAAGAAGGAAGGAAATTCTAACATATGCTACAGCACAAACTAATCTTGAGGACATTGTGCTAAATAAAATAACCTAGTCACAAAAAGACAAATATGTTATGATTCCACTTATATGAAGTACTTAAAGTAGTCAGAAGCATACTCAGCTTTTCTGCATTGTTGTATGACCAAACACTATAGTGTGCAAATTCAATACCTGTAGAAGAAGTGCAAATCAGGCCATCAGAGCAGTTTGATTTATACCCTTTCCTTGATGATTAGAAGTATCCAGGATCTTCATTCTTTTCTTTTCAAGCTTGCTACCAATTAAAATGTAAATCTCTCCAAGATAGAATGTTTTAAGCACTTTCATCGTTGAATGAATTTCAGATCCTTTAATCTTCTGCCTTTTTTGCTAAAACAAAGATTTTTAAAATATAAAAGTAATAGAGAAAAAAGGTTAATAGCTAATGGATGCCAGGATGGAGATGAACAGCCCAGTAGAAGAATAAGCACAGGTTGTGAGGAGACAGTCTACAGAAATGCCAATTTAGATGGCCCACAAGCAAATAAGATGGTCAAACTCACTTGGTGGCAGGAAAATGAAAGCACCAAAATAGTGAAGTTTCACTTTACATCCATCAAGTTGGCAATATTTTTTAAAAAGTCACCAATTGCAGGCAGAAATGTGCAGAAAAGGGTACATTCATACATCGCTTGTAAAAATGTGAAGACTTTTTTTGCATTTTGGAAAAGCAATCTGATAGCATATTGTAAATTTAAAAAATATATGTGCGTATACATATATTTGTATACATACACATACATATTATATATATACATACAAATTCATATTATACACACACACGTGTGTGTGTGTATTCTTCCACTCAGCAGTTCCATTCCTAGCAATCCATCTCAAGAAGTAAAAGCCTTCCTCTTTTAGGCAATATGCAGAATGTATGTGTGTGTGTGTGTGTGTGTGTGTGTGTGTGTGTGTGTGTGTAAAATATGTATGTATGTATGTATGTATTATTCAGCCTGAAATACTATAGTCAAGAGTGATATAACAAACATATATATATAGCATATAGCATTCTTCATGGGTACAAAGAAAGAAAAACTAAATCAAGCATAATACATTCATATCGTGGAATAGTATGCAATAACTAAAAAGAATAAATTAGAGCCATATCAACTGACTTAGAGAGAACTCCATGAAGAACTACTCAGTAGGAAGACACTTATATAGGAAGCATACAGCCTATTTTTGGAAAACAAGTAATCACTCACAAACATACACGCATACACACACACACCCAATCATGTACACCATCTACATCCACCCATAGAGGATCAAAGGATTACAATTGTATAAGAATGTATGTGCTTGAATATATGAAAGAATTAGCCCTGCATAATTCATTATTTCCCTGTAGGGAGCTGGGCTGATGTGAGGTGAGAGAGCAGAGAGTGAAGTGAGTTTACAAGCTGAGTAGAGAAGGAATAACAAAAACATAGTGCCAGCGAAAAGGAAACACATTTTTGTATTTTTTTCTATATGTGGGTATAGGTATAAAGAAATTTATATTAAAATATTAATCTCCCATATGGTACTTTTTATAATTAAAAATCTTGAGGACATGAAGCTTCATGAGAGATATTGCCCCTCTTAAGACTATCATAATAGTTTTCTCCGTCAAAAACAAAAATGGAAACCTGAAATCAGTGACTTGGGTCATTCAAGTTTTGATGTGCAAAAATTTCACCGGGCCATTTCCTAGGAAACTAAGTGGTTCTCATTTCATTGTTATGTACATCTTCTAGAAAGCTGAAGAAGGAAAGAAGGCGATAGTTCATGATTAGCTGAGCATTGTTTCCTAAACATGTAGAGGTACCATCTATAATCAAGGCTGAAACTGAGCATCATTGGTTATTGTTTTAAGTAGTGGTCACGCTGAGTTATCAAGTGATACTGTGTTACACCCCTTCCTTGGTTCTGGGAGCTGTGTTAGGGGCAGCTAAGGATAGCAAGGCAGGGCCAATTGTGTATCCTGGTGGCAGAATATAGCTCTCAACACATAATACTCTAAATTGGTTTCCCAATTTGTATTTCTAAGATAGAAATCCAACTTGCAAAAGTGAAGATGGGACCGTTTTATGCCATGTAATCCCTATTCCTGATTTTTTTTTTTTTTTCTTTAGACAGAGTCTTGCTCTTTCGCTAGGCTGGAGTGCAGGGGCGCGATCTCAGCTCATTGCAATCTCCACCTCCTGTGTTCAAGCGATTCCCCTGTCTCAGCCTCCCAAACAGCTGGGACTACAGGCATATGCCACCACGCCTAGCTAATTTTTGTATTTTTAGTAAAGACAGGGCTTCACCGTCTTCAGCAGGACGGTCTCAATCTCTTGACCTCTTGATCCGCCTGCCTTGGCCTCCCGAAGTGCTGGGATTACAGGTGTGAGCCACCGCACCCAGCCACTATTCCTAATTTCTTAACTTTGGTTCATCTCTCAGTTGGTCAGTCATAAATGTGAATTTTTTTTTCAACAATTATGGTACAAGGATGATCAGTTTTGAGATTATTTGAAAATGTGCATAGGAAGCCTTTATCTACTGGGGAAAGCTTTATTAGTGACAAAAATAGATGAGTCACTGTCAATTTTCCACAGATCTAGGTAAATGCTTCTCTATTACCTTTAGCATTTCAGCAGAAGTGTCTATGGTCAGCTCATTTTATTTTGTTACAGGTAATTTTTTTCTTTGTTTTAATAAATTTCTATATGTCTATATATTTACTTTAATAATTTAATGATCTTCTCAGCCTGCTTATCTTTTCACTGAGTTTGCTTGAAAAGCTGTGGGCCCATCTGAAATACATATCCAGATTGTTTCTAAATTCAGTAAAGTTTTCTTTAATTTTGTTTTCAACTATTGTTTCTGTTCTAGTTGTCCTGTCTTCTTCTTCCATAAACTGTATAAATTCTAAGAGTCTATCTTCATTTCGTTATCACTGTCTATATACTCTTACAAACTAATACCATATTCTTACCTTTTTTTATAGTTTTCAGTGTATGAAGTTGGTTCATGATATCACTAGTAGAATTTTCTGTCTTTCCTTTCTTCATTATAGTTCCTACTCTTGAATGTGATCAAGTTTTGCTTTAATTCTGCAATTGCATTTTAGTTTATTTTGTGTAACTGATATGATACACCACAGTTAGATACGTGCAAAGCTCATAGTATCCAACTCATACTGAGCTTTGCATAGTATTTAACTCTGATGTATCACTGGTAATTACTTTATAAATCAGCATAATTTCTCTCAAACAGTCCTCATTTCCACAGATGCCAAAGCATATAATGTTATTATTTCCTGGAATGCTCCTTAAGAGATGCATTAGTTTCCTATTGCTGCTGTAACAAATTTAGTGACTTAAAACAACACACACTTATTATCTCACCGTTCTGGAGGTCAGAAGTCCTCCAGACACGGTGGCAGAGCTGTGCTTCTTTGGAAGTTCCAAGGGAGAATCTGTTTCCTTGCTTTATTCAGCTTCTAGAAGGCAAGTGCCTTTTTTGGTTCCTGGACCCACATCACTATCACTCCCACCTGTGCTTTAGTCATATCTCTTTCTTTACCTCTGATCTTTCTGGCTCCCTTTTAAAAGGACCCTTGTAAATAACTGGGCAATCCAGTATAATCTCCCATCTCAATAACCTTAATGTAATCACATTTGCAAGGTTACTTTTTGCCATGCAAGGTAACATTTTTAGGTACCCAGGAGTAGGACTTGTACATCTTTTTTTTTTTTTTTTTGGTGGTTGGTGGGGGTGGGGGCATGATTCAACCCACCACAGATAAATTTACATGCTATTATCTTTAGCTTAGTCACAGGCAGGTACATAAATGTCCGCTAGGCTTTTTATTCTAATCTCCCCTTCTAGGTTGCTTAGAATTTTTAAGGA